CGCCGCAGTGAGCGGCCGTCCAGAAGCCGGCGACTGATCTGCCTCGCCTGGGAAGAGCGCAATGATGGTGCCAACTTGGGCCAGTGAAGCAACGTCCTCCACAACTAGACTGAAGAACAAAAGGACAGCAACTTGTCTGTTCCCCTTCCCCAATCCCCCAGCACTGTTCCCATCCCCCCAATTCCCCAATAAAAATCTTTAAAAAAAATCGACTTCTGCCCCTACCTTTAGCTAAAATACCAATTCCAGCCCATCTCTTCCTCATTCTTCCTTGCTCTGAGATCGTCATGCAGCAATAGGCTGATGGGAGGTTTATGGAAGGTGGTCTGCTAAAAGAAGGGGGATGGAGAAGCTGACTAATTCAGGTTATTATGCTGTCCCCTCCAACTCGGACATCTCATTTTTAGGGTCAGAAAAGTCATCTGACCTTATAAGAGGATGGAAGTAATTACCTTTTCCCCATCTGCCTTTTTAAGTAATCCAAATGGATATATTCTGGGGAGGCAGGATATTAAAAAAATCCCGGCAATGACTATTTTAATTCTTAGGTGATTATTTTAAACTCTGTGACATTGACTAAAAACCTCAGCTCAGGAAATGACAAGCATTGGGTAGTGAGTGTACAGCAGAGACTATTTTTCCATTATACATTTGCCCAAAAGAGCACGTACAAGTTATGATTTATATTTGATTGCCTGTTACAATTAGAGCAAGAGAAGTGCAAAATCATAGATATAATTTTAAAGATCGTTCATTCAGATCATGGTCATTCTTGAAACAAGTCAAATGGTAAGTAAGCCCTTACATGTCTCACAGAGATGTTGCTGGGTTGTAAGGCTATGATGGTTTGTACTCACTTTGTTGCAGTGGTCTGGAACCGAACCCGCAGTATCTCCAAGGTGTGCCTGGAATTTTGTGGCCAGCATCCCCTTCAGTAAAGGGGTGAGTGAGGGGCTCAGAGCCAAGATACCAGTGGAAAGCAAACAAATTGGATGCAAAGGCCCGTATAATTCAGACCAAAATATAACCGCTGCATCTAAATAATATGAAAAATTCCACATGATAGAAGTGTGTGCCCAAATTATCTAAATGGCTCCATTCCCCATGTGTTGGGAAGAGCCCTTGCAGACAGAAGGCTTCCATGTTAAGCTAACTCCCCATCATACTGCATAAAAGCACTCTCTTGTTCAGCCAGCACTGTGCTGGGGGTGCAAAACTGGATGAGACATGGCCATGGCCTGTGGCACTTCATTCTGGCTAGTGATACACACACAGAGAAACCATCAGGATGACACAAAAGGGAGCTGAAAGGGAGGTCTGTGTGCAATAAGTGTCAGAGGAGGATGGGGAGGATGGGTATTGAATTATGCCTCAGGGGGATAGGGCATGTCTAGGCTGGCTCAGAAGCTGGGCCTGGAAAAAGCACAGAAGCTCAGGGGAAGGGCATTCCAAGCCCAGAGAACAGCAGAGAAAAGGCACTAAGCGGGGTGTGCCTGGAATATAGGATCTGTGGAAGGTGGTGCATAGAATCCAGGCTGTGAGATGGAGAGGCAGGACAGGGCCGAGGGACAGAAATCGATAACAAAAACCAGGAGCCGTGAGAGAGACAGAAGGGAAATTAGAAGGTCCAGAAGCATCCCAGGAGCATTGGACAAGAGCGTCTAAGAAAGGAGAGTGTTCAGCATGGTTGGTATGCCTACAGGAGGACTGAAATAAGGCCACTGGAGTAGGTGGTTCAAAGATCATTGCAGAACTGAGGAAGGATGGGACAGAGGTTGGAGTACAGGTGGCTGAGGAATGACAGGGAGGTGCACCTGCAAGTTGCCTAGAAGGGGAGGACTGAGCAAGGATTTGGCTGGAGAAGGGGGAAGAGAGGACAGAGGTAAGATTTGGGCTTGTTTTATTTGTTTTTGTAGGCTTCCACTTGATTGTAAGCCAAGAAGAAACTACTGGAGAATGAGAACCTTAGGTAGCAAAGAGAGGAAGAAGAATGAAAGAAAACAAGCTCTGGGGAAGGAAGAAGGTAAGTTCAGATAAAGAGGTTAGCCTAGGACAGGAAACATACTCGTCCTCCTCAAGATGCAGAACAGTTCCTTCAGAATGGCTGCCATCAATAAATCAACAAACAAAAAGTGTTGGTGAGGATTTGGAGAAAAGGGAGCCCTCATACACTGTTGGTGGGATTGCAGAATGGTGCAGCCACTATGGAAAACAGTATGGCAGTTCCTCAAAAAATTAAAAATAGAACTACCTTATGACCCAGCAATTCCACTCCTGGGTACTTATGCAAAGACATCCAAAACACTAATTCGAAAAAAGATATGCACCCCTGTGTTTACTACAGTGCTATTCACAATAGCCAAGACATGGAAACAACTGAAATGCCTATCAATAGACGATTGGATAAAGAAATTATGGTACATCTATAGAATGGAATATTACTTGGCCATAAAAAATGAAATCTTACCATTTGCAACAACATAGATGGACCTAGAAGATACAGAGTCTGACAATTAAGTTCGCAAACTCACCCTACAAAAAGTGCTACATACCTCTTTGCTGAATATCACTATGGTCATCTTCGAAGTACTCCCCTTGGGAAGCTATGCACTGACGCCAGCGCCTAGCCCACCTTTCCAAGCAATTTTGGAGCTCTTTTGCTTGTTTTTTTTTTTTAATTTTTATTGGGGAATTGGAGGGATGGGAACAGCGCTGGGGAATTGGGGGAAGGGGAACAGACAAGTCGCTGTCGTTTTGTTCTTCAGTCTAGTTGTGGACGACGTTGCTTCACTGGCCCAAGTTGGCACCATCATTGCGCTCTTCCCGGGCGAGGCAGGTCAGTCACCGGCTTCTGGACTGCCGCTCACTGCGGCTGCTCGCCACTCACGCTGGCTGCTGGCTACATACGGTAGCCCATGGCAACCCACTGCCACAGGGGCTGCAGCCTATGCCATCGCCAGCTACTCACGGCAGCCCAGCACCAGGTTGAGCTGTTGTTCAGCATCTTAGCTGTAGAGGGCAGTGTCACTGGCCCTCATATGTGGGATCCGAACCGGGGCCCTCTGGCGTCCCAAGCCAGTTCTTAACCATCGCGCCACTCGGCCGGCCCTGGAGCTCTTTTTCTGAAATGGCGATCAGAGCTGTTGTCCTATTACCCTTGATGTCCTGAATGTCATCAAAATGGCTTCCTTTCAATATTTCTTTTATCTTCGGTTAAAGAAAGAAGTCACTGGGGGCCAGATCAGGTGAGTAGAGAGGGTGTTCCAATACAATTCTTTGTTTACTATCTAAAAACTCCCTCACAGACAGTGCCGTGTGAGCTGGTGCATTGTCGTGATGCAAGAGCCATGAATTGCTGGCGAAAAGTTCAGGTCATCTAACTTTTTCACGCAGCCTTTTCAGCACTTCCAAATAGTAAACTTGGTTAACTGTTTATCCAGTTGGTACAAATTCATAATGAATAATCCCTCTGATATCAAAAAAGGTCAGCAACATTTTTGCAACAAGTTCACAAACTTAATTGTGACACCTCATATTATGCTAAGTGAAATAAGCCAGACTGAGAAAGACAAATACCATATGATCTCACTTATGTGGAATCTGAAGAACAAAAATAAATGAACAAACAAAACAGAAATAGACTCATAGGAATAGAGAACAAACTGATGGTTGCTAGATAAAAGGGGGTTGGGGAATGGGTGAGAAGGTGAAGGGATTAGGAAGTACAAATCGGTAGTCACAAACTAGTCGTGGGGATGTGAAATACAGTATAGGGAATATGGTGTATAATGTTGTAAAAACTATGTATGGTGTCAGATAAGTACTGGACTCATTGGAGGGATCACTTCATAAATTATATAAATTCCTAACCACTACATTGTACACCTGAAACTAATATAAAATAATATTGAATGTCAACTATAATTTTAAAAAATTATATATATATATATATATATATATATATATATATAATATGTATGTCATGGGATGTAGAGTACAGCATAGGGAATATAGTCAATGGTATTGTAATAGCTATGTATGGTGTCAGATGGGTAGTAGACTTGGGGTTATCACTTTGTGAGGTGTGTAAATGTCTAGTCATTATGTTGTTTTGTACACCTGAAACTAATAATAATAATAAAAGATGCAGGAGAAGAGTCAAGGATGCATGAGTTACGGGTAAATTGGGGCGGGAAGGGGAAGAAGAGGAGGTAAATGTCACCAGGGAGCCCCGAGAATCCTGCTGAGGCTAGAAACCAGATCTGTTACAAAGCCCAACAGCAATTCCCCCAGCATAGGAGTAGGAACAGAGACCTTGCTGATGGAATTAGCTCCAGGGAGCCTATAGTAGAAGGAAACTCACCTCTTTCCAGCCCCCCAGTAACTCCCTGGAGCCTACCAGAGTCTCTGACCTTAACGGACATGCTTAATGACAAATGAGACAACTTTCAAAGCTCTGGCACTATGTCTGCTTTCCACAACATCACTTAACTGTTTCAGAAAGAAAACATTTTACCTGATTCTACAAATACTTATCCATTCTTTTTTTGCTTCTGAGTGTGGTACCTGAAGATATTACAGTCATGTGACAGAATAACATATGGCAGAACTGACTTTGTAGACAAGAAGTCCAGGTTGTTAGTCAGTTATCTGTCTTCTTCTGAAAGGAACTTTCTTGGGAGTAGAAAATAATTTCATTGTGAATGAAAAAAACAGTTTCCCTTTAAACAATAGGGTCCTGTGATTTTAGTCTGATGAACTCTAAAATCTAACCTCAAACCGCAAGTTGAGTACTTTGGGGCTCAGGTTAATTCCAATATAAATAACCTAACTGGTGTCTGTGCCATTTAGCACATGTCAGCAGAGGGTTATAGGGGCTAATAGGGAGACATCTGAAATTCCTATACCTTGTATGTCTGCGCTGCAGAACTAGGGCAGATGTCTCATTAAATGTGATTATTGTGCCACAGTGGACAGGGGAGCCCAGGAGCACTCCTCACCTGCTTCCTTTATATGTTTATATACGTCATCAGAGCCAGCAGAAGAGTATGGAATGTCGTCATGGGCCACAAAATCAATCTGTTGGAAAGAGAAAAGAGTGACGTCACCCCTGGCATGGATGCACATGTCTGTGATCTGAAAATGCCTTTGTGAAATACAGAAACTGTAATAAACAGTTGAAATAAGCAGTTTATAATGTGGATTGGAGTCCTTAACTGAAAGGTATTTCCAACTGTCTCCATTTCCATGAGACAATGGGAACTAAATTGGTTTCTCTCCTTTGCTGGTCCCTCTTTCTCTACTACCTCTGATAGTAGGTTTTCTTGGCCTTCTGTTTTTCTATACTTGGCCTCTAAACTTTGTCCTTCAGAGAATTCCTTCATTCTTCAGGTTTGATTCACCCCTGCTATGATGAGGAGCCCAAGTCTGCATTTCCTATCCCACTGATGGCAACAGGCCCTCACACTTAAGTAGTATCTTATATCGTGGAAATGAATTCAGTCTGATGAATGAATTTAGTTTCGTTTCTCATTTTCACAACCACCTTGTGAGGTAGGTAGGGCAAATATTACTATTTCAGTTGGGACATAAATCTGCTGAAACTGGCAAACTTGTCAGATTTTCCCAAAGTTTCTCTTTCTCTTTCGCCACCCCTTGCTGTCACTTTGAAAATCCACCTCTCTGGAATTTAATTCATCCTGAAACTGGTGCCCCCTTCCAACGGCACTTCCATTTTCCCAGTTCATCTAGGCCCCAAACACCTTGGCATTGCTTCACTTCCTCTCCATCGCTACTACACTAACCTAGGGTCCTGTCACCTGGGTTATTGACACCAACTTGTACTTCACCTTTCTCACTGCAGACTCTCTCCTCCCCAAGCCATCCTTCTGTCACATGGGGATCCTACTTCAACAGAATTTTCTTCTTGTCATCCTTGTACCTGCTGCAATAGTTCCCTATTTCCTACTATTTCAAGTAAAACCTCCTTGCCTAGCTTTCAAAGCCCTTTATAACACAGCTTTGCTGCACCTCGAGAGGTAGTTTTGAGTTAGAAGTTTAACTTGCCTGGGTATGATTCCTGCACCACCACTTGCTTGCTATATAAGTTATAAATTGGTGGTAAAGATTAAATTAGGATTTGCCAACCTCAATACCAGTTGCATTCTGAGCTGATAATTCTTTTTTTTTTTGGGGGGGGGGTTCTGCACTGTAGGATGTTTAGCAGCACCCCTGGCATTTACCCACTAGATGCCAGTAGCACCTCTCCAGTTGTGACAGCCAAAAATATTTCCAGACATTGCCAAATGTCCCTTGGAAGCAAACTCGCTCTCACTTGAGAATCATTGGATTTAATGATATAATTATGTAAAAGTGCTTAAAAATAATAATGGGTATACAGCAAGTACTCAACAAATGCTAGTTATTATTATTAATTCTATTCTTAGTACTCAAACTTAGATCCTCCTCCTTGCCAATGTATAATAATAACAATAACAACAACTCCTCAGAGTAGCCATGAGAGCGAATGCAATTTGTATAAGAGCAAAGCACTTAGCACAGTGCTGGGCACATGGTAAAATAGTAAGTGGCAGCCATCATTACCATCACGAGTTTCCCATAATGCCCAGCACAAGTTGAATACACAATAGATGCTTAGTGAAAATGTGTTAGTGATTGCCGAAAGTAAATCATATTGTAGTTCTTCCTTTTTCTTTTTATTCTTGCTGGGAAATTGTCTCCTCTGCTATTACCCATGCACATTTATCAGTATTCTCTATTCTCTTCTGTATTGTGAATTTAAAAATAGAAAAGAAAACTCTTAGAACAGCTTAATCTTATTTTTTTGTACTGTTCATAAAAGGAGAGAATAGCTCCTAATGTGGGACTTGTAGGGAGATACAAAGCACATAATTTGATGCAGATCAAAAGAATTTCTCATGTTTTCAACTAATAAAAATCTTATATCAGTAGGAGTCTCAGGGTCACAAAATCATAGATATAAAGTTTTTTCCTTAAAGGCTGACCCCTGCCCTTCTGGATAAGATATGTGTTCATCTGTTCCATGAAAAATCATGCCTGTGAATCTGTAAGCACAAATAATGATGATGATGATGATGGTGATGACATTTTTGGAGCTCTTGCTAGAGGCCAGCCAGTGTTCCAAGGGTTTCACTTAGATGATCTCATTGGATCCTCATGAGGAACAGCCCCATGAGGAAAGTACCAATATCACCCCATTTTACAGTTTAGGTAAGTGAGTTCAATTTTTTGCTGAAGGTTAGGAAGGGATAGAGGCCACACTTGGACCTTGGTGGTCTCGCTCCAGAGCCCACACTGAAGAAGTGAGAGGATATCAGTCCCCAGGCTGGGGCAGAAGAGAGGTGCTACATCAAGTGCCATCACATGATGGTTCCTGAAGTTACCAAGTTACCTCTTTAGGAAGTTGGAAGAGTCTTGGGGCTTTCTGGGTACTGGCTACAGAGCCAGGCTCCCTAATTCTGCTACTTAGAGACCATGGAAGAATAAGTACCTTGTGTTTTTCCAGAAACTCTGGTGTGAGTGTCCATGGAGCATCTCTGATGACTTCGTCTACATAGCGACAGTGTCTGAGAGCTTCGTATCTCTCTGCTTCATTCATCACGGTGAAACCTTTGAATTTGTGGGTGAGGTCATCACTGCAGACTGAAACAGGCAAAAGCATTAAGTGCTGTTAGCTGGCCCAGGCCCTGTTCACAGCCATCCCAGTACAGACATGGCTTCTTTGAAAGGAGCTCAGCCTTGCTAGGTGCTTGGCATAATCAAACTCAGTTTTTTTACAGGAACAAAGGATCAGGAAACTGAAGCAAGCAGAAATCCACCAGCAATTCAGAATTTCATTTTAGTGCTAATTACAACTGCATTCTCCACCCTGGCTTTTATTAACATTATTCTCTACACGACCTAACGAGACTTTCATGTCTTTTTATTTCCCTATCCCACCCTTCAGTGAAAATTACTATTCAGAAATCAAATGATCAAATGAAGAGACAGAAAAGAGAGAGAGAGAGAGAGAGAGAGAGAGAGAGAGAGAGAGAGAGAGAGAGAGAGGGAAACCAAGGGGCCTGAATTGTAGAAGGTTGGAACCATCACAGTTCCAATTCCTTTACTAGATCATTGTACTTAGTAACCCAAGTGTCATTCACGTGCATGCACATGTGTGTGCATGCACACATTTCTGTTCCCTGGATTGAAGTCTAGTCACTACACATCTGGCCACACAGTCAGGAGGATAAAGTCTTGAAATAGAAGATCTGGTCTAGCCGAGTTCATCCTTCCCACTTCTCTTATGCTCTCTAAATCTCAGGTTCCTGAACCCTCAGATGGGGATAATAATATCCTCCACTCTCAGCCATAGAGAGGATTTTTTGTGAGGAGTTACATGAAAGTGCTTTGAAATAAATGGAACAATATATATTATTCATTATCCTACCCGGAATATATTTTTTCTGTTGGCAAAGGCAGATTTCCGGAGCCTTCCTACACGTCAGGAATAAATGTCATTGTGGGTACAGCACCTGTGTGTCAGTATCCCGGTGAGGTTCTTGCTGCAGAGGATCAGACCCCGACTGCTTCTTAAGATGACTTGTTTTTTTCTTTACGGTATTATGTATACACAACACATTTACAAATTTTAAGTGTATGAGGTATTTTTTTTAAAGATTTTTTTTAATTGGGGAATTGGGGGGATGGGAACAGACAAGTTGCTGTCCTTTTGTTCTTCAGTCTAGTTGTGGAGGACGTTGCTTCACTGTCCCAAGTTGGCACCATCATTGCGCTCTTCCCAGGCGAGGCACATCAGTCACCGGCTTCTGGACGGCCGCTCACTGCGGCTGCTGGCCGCTCACGCTGGCTGTTGGCTACACACGGTAGCCCATGGCAAACCACTGCCACAGGGGCTGCAGCCTACGCCTCCCCGGGGACTCACGGCAGCCCAGCTCCAAGTTGAGCAAGTTGAGCTGTTGTTCAGCATCTTAGCTGTAGAGGGCAGTGTCACTGGCCCTCATATGTGGGATCCAAACTGGGGCCCTCTGGCATCCCCAGCCAGTTCTTAACCATCGCGCTACTCGGCCGGCCCTGTATGAGGTATTTTTTAAAAAACAAAAATACGATCCTTTTCTTGGAACCCAATCATGCTCCATATCCAGAACCAAATCTGGCCACAGAGTCAGTACAGCCAACAGCCACGCCCGGCATCCTTGGAGAATCTCCTATTGCAGCCCTCACACACCCTGCATCCAAACCATCAGCAAAGCTGCTGGCTGTGCCTTCACTTGCAGCTAGAAGCAACATTCTTCTCACCACCTTCACCTCTCCCTTCCCAGCCCATTCACCATCTCTCCCATGGATTACTGCACTGGGCTCCTAACTGCTCTCCTGATTCTGATCCTGCCCACCCCCACCAGCCTGTTCTCATCAGCCGGAATGATCCCATTAAAACCTGTCAGACTGACATTCCAAGGCTCCCATCTCCCTCAGAGTAAAAGCCAAACTCCTCCAGCAGCCTACAGGCTCCTACAAGATCCACACCTCCACCCCTCCTTGCCTCTTTAACTGCATCCCCTGTTTCGTCTCAGCCCCTGGCCTCCTTGCTGTTTCCTGAATCCACCAAGAATGTTCCTCCTCAGGTCAGGGCTTGGCACTTCTTGTTCCCCAAACCTGGAACAGCTGTGCTCCAAATATCCATAGGGCTCACTCTCTCTCCTCCTGTAAGTCTTCCCCGACCACCGTCTTCTAAACTGCAATCCCATCACCACCACAAGCAGTCTCCATCCCCTTTCCACTTTACTTCTCACTATGGCACTTGTCAATCTATATTGGTTTTACTTCATTTTGTTTATGATTCGTGTTCCTCTACTAAAATATAAGCTCCCTGAGGACAGGGGCTTTTGTCTGTTTTATTTTCTGATAGCCCATAGGGGCCTCTTAACAAATATTTGTTGAATGAATTAATACTGCCTGATACATATAGATGTTCAATAAATGTTGACTATGATTTAAAATAACAGATTTGTATTTATCTGCAGGCACATTTCAACACCATACATGCAAATAAGAGAATAGTGTGTCTCTAGACATGTATGTGTATGCCCATATACCTCCTATATCTACTTCCTGAGATGCTGTATAGACATACGTAGAATACAACACATTAGAGAAAACAGTGTCGTGGTTTACACATTTCCAAAACACCATCACCCATGTGGCTGGCTTGAAAATCTTGATGAGTATCAGGATCACCTAAGGAGCTTGTTAAATATAAATATGCCTAGGCTCCAGTCCCCAAGATTTTGATTCAGTGGGTGCTATGGTCTGAATGTGTCCCCCTGCCCCAAATTTATATGTTGAAATCTCAACTCCCAAGGTAATGATATTCCGAGGTGGGACTTTGGAAAGTCATGAGGATGCAACTTGCATGAATAGGATTAGTGCCTTATAAAAGAAGCTCCAGAGAGCTCCCTACCACCTTCCACCATATAAGAAAACAGCGAGAAGGCACTAACTGTCAATCAGGAAGAGGGCCTTCGCCAGAAGGAGATGTTAGCGCCTTGACCTTGGACTTCCCAGACTCCAGAACTGTGAGGAATAAACTGCTGTTTTTAAGCTATTCAGTCTGTGGCATCTTGTTATAGTAGCCTGAATGGACTGAGACAGCGGGTCTGGAGTAGGGCCCAGGAAGCTTTATTTTTGACAAGCTTCAGGGAAGATTGTGATACACACAACATTTGAAAGCCCTGAAGCATATTATGAACATCTTGAGTAAAAGCCCAGCCTGTTTGTGAATCAACCATCACAACCAGCTGTTGAGGGTGGGCGGGGGCAGGGGAGGAGGCAGGGAGTAGAGCCATAATGACTATGTTATGTATCGATTCACTGACTGTGTGAGCTTTGACTCCATAAATTGGAATTATTTATGGGCCAACCTATACAATTTACAAATTGATCTAAGACTTTAAATGTTCTTTTAGGACTTGACTAAAACACTACCTCAAGAATTATATTGAGCAGAAATGGATTTGAGGTCCATCAATTTTCTATTTTAAACACCACAAAACTAGGCCAAACCATATTCCACACCCTGCCTTTTGAACCTGCACCTGAGCAATTTGGTATAACTTCTAGATGACCGAGATAATGGCCTAACAGAGCACAGAGCAAACAAACATCCTGTTTATGACAATACAGGGTCCTATTTTCATATCCCAGGGGTGACCTCAAGAAGCAGCTGAACATGCTGACCAGTTATTGTCTAAACATTAATTACACCAAAGCAGCACTGTTGTTCTTGAGTCTTGGCAAATGCTCTCTGACAACCAGATGGAGAACTCTGAGCCATGGTGTTCGTTCCATGGATGAATTCACTGAGCTATCAGGGAGCTCATGCTTCAGCTAAACTATCCTGGCAGCTCACTGTGCTCAAAATAAAATGTTACCAGTACCCCTAGACTAATCAGGGGGATCACTTTGTAAGTTATGTAAATGTCTAATCACTGTGTTGTACACCTGAAACTATAATATTGTATGACAACTGTAATTGAAAAAAATTTTTTTTAATTAAAAAACATATACTACCAGTTCCTTGCAGGAGAGAAAATATAACATAGGGGTTTGAACTTTGGAGCCCAGCAGATTTAGGTTCTAATCCCAGCTCTGCTATTTATTACTGGGAAAGGTACTCAAACTCTCTAAGCCTCAGTTGCCTGTCTTTAAAACATGGTGAAGTTTTGAGAGTTAAATTTGATCCTCTGTATGAGTAGAGAACAATACCCAGTAATGTTTGCCATTTATTAATAGTAGTAGAAATATAGGACCATTTATGGCAATATTCATTTGTGTTTTGGGCTCTGTCTTTTCCCTGCTGCTGCCACTCCAAGCAAGTCCCCAGCCTCTTGGCATAAACTGCCCCACAGAAGCCGTGAAGTTCAACTCGCTGGTAAACAGCATGCCCTCCTGGCTACTGTTTTCCTGAAGCCAGAGATCCTTGGGGGAATTATGTAATGAAGAAGACAGAGAGAGAATATACCTCCAAACAAGGAAGAGTCCAAAGATCTGAGAAGCCCACAAGCAGAAGGGGTCAGAGGGAGAGACTGGGGATCAGAGACATGCTGCTCTGGCTCAGTGGTTTCACCTGGGGTGCCTCACCTTGCAGAGGTGCAGTAAATCTGCTCCCATCTAGTAATTTTGTAGGCTAGATGATGAGGGCAGTGCAAAAACAGTGCTGGGCTGAAGGCTGGAAGCCCCTCTCCTGTTTCTGTAAACAATTCGGAACCTTGTTTGACTCTGGGGAGCTGAAGACAGCCCAAAAAGAACTGAAACGAATTTCCCACCAGTCAGGCAAAATGGAGTCTTAGAGGACCATGTAATTGCAATTAAAATACAATAGAGCATAAACCCACATTTATGGAGTAATATTTATGCCTACTATAGTAGGAGTAGTATTGTGTTTATTGTTGTTGTTTTTTAATTCCCCACCTGTGAAGCAGAAGTGGGTACTGATGACTCATATCCTTAAACAAAATGTTTTAGGGAAAAAACACTATGATATAAATTTTAATTTCTTGACTTATTTTTAAATGACTGAGCTTCTAATTTAAAATGGAGAAAAAAGAGCTTTACGACTAGATAGTTTGGGGGTTTTTTTGTTT